CTGCCATTTAATTTATTGTTAATTTCTCGGGCGAAAGATTCACAATTTTCTTCGCGTCGCTTACGTTCGCGACGCTTCGTCTAAGTGCGCGTGCACTTTTACTCTAGCTTCACAAACAGCTATCTCATATTCGCATCCGACGATAATGAATAGCAAATACAATTCGCTGTCTCGGGCCCAAAACACACGGAGCGGTTTTTGCCGAGTGGGTCACCGAAGCGGCGTCTCGTTTATGACACTTCTATTGTATGAACCAGGCGGTGTATCGTCGGAGGCGGCTGCCGAGCGGTGGCCGAGCGTACCCTGCTGGCTATCATGTCCCGAGCGTGGTTTTACGACTCTAGTGGGCACACGCTCGGCGCATCATTCCCTGTACGCTTATGGAAGGAAACTCACGTCGAGCGGTTTTAGTACGGTTTTTTGATTTTCGTGAACATCAGTGTTGCCAATTAGAATAAAATTATGGAAAATTTGAACGTTGAGAGGCTAATTAATTGAATTCGCATAAGGCCAGCGATTTGGGATATGCGCTCAGAGGAATATTCTAACAAAATCCAAAAAAAATCTTCGTCACTAGAAGACGCCATTGCGTACGGTGTGACTACGCAAACAACTGGCAACAGTGAGATTATCCATTTTCAAATAAGTTGATCCGCCAGGCGCGGTAACGCTGTGTGTGTTTCGAGTCGCTCCTCCGCCGAATCGCTGCCGACTCGGCAGAAAGCGCACCCTGTGTTTTAGGCCTTAAGGTGCTGGCCCACTGAGGCGAAGCGTGGCGAAGCGAAGCGTGGCGAAGGGAAGAGTTGAAATGGCTATGCCGCACACTAGCGAGCGATCTCGATCGAAGCGAAGCGCCGCGCGTCGCGCAAAAATTTATTTTGTATTTGATTATTTGATTGATTATTATCTCAGTACTAACCTGTGAATAGATATGAGTAGTTCTTCATCGGACGAGGTTCTTTTTGTGATAAGTTTGATTGCCAGTATGGAGGAAGAAGAGCGACCAAAAAAAATATTTATGTATACCTACATCCAGGAATGAAGTGCACACACGCAAAATAAAACGAGAGGTACCGATAACGCACGAATGTTGACGACGCTCGAATAATTTTGATCTTCTCGCTTCCTCCTTGACGCCCGCCCACTGGAGCGAAGCAAAGCGGAGCGGCGCGTAATTCTTCGTCTACTTGCTCATGCGACATCTTCGCCGCGCTTCGCGACGCTTCGCCTTAGTGGGCGAGCACCTTTAAAGGCTGACGCTCACTAAAGCGCAGCGCACAGAAGCGCAGCGTAGAGGACTTTTTATAATACATTGTTTTAAACGGGAGTATGCCGATCGGCGCTCTTCCGACAAGTGAGCTTACTCCCGTTTAAAACAATGTATTTAAAAATTCCTCTCCGCCGCGCTGCTGTGCGCTACGCTCCAGTGAGCGACAACCTTAAGGCTGACGCTCACTGGAGCGCAGCGCACGGAAGCGCGGCGTAGAGGACTTTTTATAAAACATTGTTTTAAACGGGAGTATGCCGATCGGTGCTCTTTCGACAAGTGAGCGTACTCCCGTTTAAAACAATCTATTTAAAAAGTCCTCTTCGCCGCGCTGCCGTGCGCTGCGCTCCAGTGAGCGACAACCTTGATAGTGCGTGAGCGTGTTCCAGCCTGTTGTGTTGACAATTTTTGTGGGTATTTAATAAATAAAGCATTTTCAAAATATTCATACATCTGTTTATTTTTCTAAAGAATCTGAAACTATCGACAAAAACAAATTAAACATATTTTCGTCGTTTGATGATGTTTCGAGCAATTTTTTTTTTTACTGAAATGAGCAAAATATGAGACAACTCGAATTTATGAAAACATTGGTGGAGCCAGCGTATGTGCGCCAAATTAAACTTGAACCACGGATTCACCGCTCTTTCGCATCTGTATGTAGGTGACCTGTGACATTATATCTCTTTGCTCAGAACTAAGATAACGTGAGTGAGGAGTTTTGAAATGAATGCCCTGTATATATATCCGATATTTCAGCATATATTGTGCCTATATATAAAGTATATATTGTGCCAATCTAAAAAACAAATATTGGGTCTATGTTTAAAAGAAATATTCCATATTTAATAATTCGTAATATTGGGAAAATATTTATCTTCAATAACGGATTCATATTGGAAATATACAATGGGCACGTTTCCATCGTTGGGCCAATGTGTAAATATAATATTTTATGAATATTGTTGTGCTACTGGGGTACCTACCACCTAGGTACTGCTGTAATTAACCTTGGATATACAATACATTTTTTCAAATAACTATTTATATTGTGTGTTTTTTCTATCCATAGGTACTGGCTTTGACGTTTAGAAAAAACGCTCCAGAAAAACACCTTAATGAGGGAATTTGTGTTTATTTTGCATAGGTGATGAATTACATACATTTCCCCCCTTCGCCCATTGAAAATGCCATCGCGACGGCCCTGGTATCTGGATTGGCGATCTTTAAACAGCACCATTTGATTTGTTTTTTCTAAAGTCTAGTCGAGTGGCGCCCTCTGAACCGGCAGTGACATTTTTGTAGAATCTTTATAGTTTCCAGTAGGTACATTGACCTTTGAATTTTGTAACTCATGTAGGTACACACCAAACTTTTTTTTTTATATACCTACTTCACCCTGGGCGATGGGACATTTTCGCGCTAGCTCTTCTTGAAGTTTTCGACGTCCCCAAGGAAGTTGATACACGTACGTGTAGTTTCAATGTAAATAGACGGTTTTTATATTATATTAACGATGTCACATTTGTCGGACAAAAATCACGTGGCTTTGGGAAGGGTCCAACGCCCACCGCCCACAACATGTCGCTGTAGCGTCCCTAAGGAAGTTGATACAGGTACGTGTAGTTTTAATGTTGACTGACGGTTTTTTTCATTACATTAATGATGTCATATTTGTCGGACAAAAATCATGTGGATTTGGGAGGAAGGGTCCGACGGAATTATGTTAACTTTATGTTTTTTGATGTGCTAAACAACATAATTACTTTTGAATCGCGGATATCAATATGAAAAACCTCTATTTTGAGTCATTCAGAAGTTATAAACAATTTGTTTTACCGGCTGTGATAGGTGTGTTTGTTAAATTTGAAAAAAAGTTTCAAACAAAAGTTGCAGGGTTTAAAAAGAAGTACAAAAAAGTACAGTAAATTGATGATGCCGCAACATTAGGCTAGCTTTTTTTTATTGATATTCAGTGCATCAAGAAACATATTATAAAAATATTGCCAGCCTTAGACAAAAAATTTTCATGAAGAGAATGAAAGCCAATCGACTAATTATAATATTTTAAAAAAATATTAATTATATAACAAAAAATGCCGACGACCCAAATAATAGCAACAATAATAATAATAAGAATATTATTAAAAGAAAACATAATACATAATAACAGTCGAAGCATGGGTTACATTTTTTTATAATATGGATATACCTATGCAATATGATTCTAATATTTTTGGATTTTTGTCCGACATTTAGGTAGGTACCTACCTACTACATATGTTTTAAAATTACATTATTGTTATTTATAATTATTTGTGTCCGACAAATGTGATATCGTGAATCTAATGTAAAAAACCGTTGATTAACATTAAAACTACACGTACATGTATCAACTTCCTAAGAAACACCGCAGCCACATGTTGGAGGCTTCGAACTTTCCCCAAAGCCACGTGATCTTTGTCCGACAAATGTGACATCGTTATTGTAATATAAAAAAATCGTCGATTGACATTAAAACAGTCAGGGACGTCAGAACAACATCTTCACGCAAGTGTCCCATCGCCCAGGGTCAGTAGGTATATCAAAAAAATTTCCCGACCAGGTGTTATGAAGCCGGTCAGGAAGTTGCTTATTTACATGATGTACAAAATCCAAAGGTCAGTGTATTAGCCACTACTGTCAATATCTTTCTGTCAGAAGTAGGTTAAACCATCTCTTCGATATTTTTTTCAGCTAGGTAGGTATAGGATATTATACATGAAATAATCTCAGAATTTCCCGTAGAATCAAAAAATTAAATATTAGATACTTATAATGAAATAAAGAAGTTGATAGCACTTCAGATGAAAATGGAAATGACACCACTTGTTTGTATGTTGAAATTTTGCATCAGCTTTTGTATAGTCAGTGATCTAGTGGACATCCGCTATATTTTCTGACTAATGTGAAAATTTTGGAATAATTCCCTTCGGTTTTCGATCCACAGACGCGTTTCGATCTATCAGATCTCATCAGTGTGGCTAGGAAAGCAAAGAAAACCAATCCAAATTTAGTGCCTGCAGGCAAAGTAGAAGTAATACGACGAGCGAATTTTGATCGTGGCGCCATCTAAGACTAGGATTCTGAACTGAACAGCACTTTTGCTGTAAAAGTACTGACCGGGTAATAATAGGCCGACCAAAAATCAGTTAGTTGGGAAAACAAGTTTTCTCCTGATGTGAAAATTTTGAATTCATTTTCTTCCCTTTCCCATTCACAGACGCGTTTCGATCTATCAGATCTCATCAGTTTGGCTAGGAAAGCGAAGAAAACCAATCCAAGTTTAGTGCCCGCAGGCAAAGTAGAAGTAATACGACGAGCGAATTTTTTTTGCTTTCCTAGCCACACTGATGAGATCTGAGAGATCGAAACGCGTCTCTGGATGGAAAAGCGAAGAAAATTAATCCAAAATTTTCACCTCAATGGATAATAGGAGAAAACTTGTTTTCCCTATTTTGGGTTTTCCCAACTAACTGATTTTTGGTCGGCCTATTAGACGGTCAGTACTTTTACAGCAAAAGTGCGGTTTAGTGCTGAATCCTAGTCTTAGATTGCACCACGATCAAAATTCGCTCGTCGTATTTTCTGACTAATATTTGATCGCCCTATAGAAATAAATATCCAAGTCGAAATTAATCTAAAATTGCAGTCGGTGGCTCCATCTCGTACCAACAGCCGCATGCAGCAATATATGGAAGAAACTCCTGAAGAAAGCGTCCAACAACAAGTCCAAGCAGCAGGAGAAGGCGCTCTAATGTCCAGCGGCGATCCTGAAGGTAACGATAAAAACTCGGCCGCGCTCAGTTTAGTGTCGGCCACTGCAAATGGCGCGCATGATAATCACACGAGGGGTGAGTGAGTTCTGACGATTTTTACGGTCACGTGCGAACATTTTTCATTATTCGCTATCCAGATTTATTTTTCGCAACTTAACGGGTTAAAATATTCAGGGCAATCCAATTAAAAATATTTGTTAATATTGTGCTAATTTTATTTGTTGTCGTTTGCCAGTGCTTCTATGCCTCTAAACAATCTGATAATATTATTTTTATATTGATCTTGCTAAACATTTACAGTTCAAGCCAAAAAATAAAATAAAACGGTATAGTCATACTAAATTTAACGTCTTCATTACGTGACTAGGCAATTCTGCATCTAAACTAGATAGTAGTAAGTATTCGAAACCCTTCATCTCTGGGGATTTTTCACCGTAAGATTTTATTTATAAGAGTTGACCGACGTTGAGAACCTACGCCGGAATTGCTTGGTTTCAGTTTCTTTCAACTTTCAAGGATAAAATTTGCTTACCGACTTTTCGATGGCCCCGACTCTTAATTAAAAAAAAAAAAAGAAGCTCCAATTCTCTTTCGTATACCGTGTATTTTTTCTTTAGAACAATTGAGTGACGAAGAAGAAGACGAACCCCCTGCTCTGGCCAACGGTGGCGGCTATTGGAGGCAGGGGGCTGCCTCGAGGCCTCACAGTCCTCCTATGGCAGATAATGCCAGCGATGCCTCTTCCATGCAACCTCCACCACCTCGACCCAAAAGTCGTGCTGAGATGACTACTAGCAGGTGATTGAGTCTTGACAATTTTTTTTCCTACGACTCAATTATGTATTTTAATTCCAGATACTCAAACCTTGGCTATTGGAAAGCGCGCAGAGTACTCTTCTACAAAAATGGAGATCCTTTTTTTCCTGGAGTCGAATTTCGTTTTAAACCTGGCAGAGATATCGTCAGCTTGGAATCTCTTCTAGATAAGCTTTCTCTTCGTATGGACTTACCTAGAGGAGCAAGGTAGAATACATTTCAGTTTTTGGTCATTGTAGCATCCACAAAATCTTTTTGGTTCTTAGATATGTTTTTTCAATGGATGGCGACAGAAAATACAGACTTGATGAATTAGAAGACGGCGCGTCCTATGTGGTATCGTCTTACAAAACTTTTAAGGTAAGTGCTTGCCTTTTCCGCATAAGTTCGTTATTTGCTAACTAGTCGAGTCCTAACTGAGTAAGAGATATTTTTCATAAAAATATTTCTCTATCTGGATCTAAAAAAGGGAGAGAACGCCACACCCCAAGTAAATAAAATCTCCCTAGCAACCAATGATATCCATTTATTAGGGAGTTTGTTTTGCGGTGAACCCCGCGCTTTGTCATAACGTTGTGACAAATCGGAAACGGAGCGCATCCCTATTTGTCAATAAGTGGGCCGTTCTTAGTTGTGGGAGAATTCCAGAACAGCCCTTTTGATTATTAAATTTCACCAATTTTCACATTATTCATCAATACAGGCATCAGGGGCTAACCGAAAATTAATACATAACTTTTAAAGTGCAGTTAAGTGCAATAATAATTGACCACACCTCTGTTTATAGAGTTTGTTGGGATAATATATTATTCGAAATTTTACACGCATGCGGTAGATATTGGATTGGTAAATTCGTTGCAGAAATACAAATAAATATACCTATTTAATGCACCTAAATAGTTTTTCATTGGAAATCTATGGTAAGTTATACAGTGTCCCCCATAATGTTCGCTACATATGGAGAATTTTTTTATTTGTAGGATATGGATTTTTTTTTATGTACGATCGATCCTGCATGTCCGATAATCTAAAAGTACATTGGTCACGTGATCACTGTTGTGGTGGCGAATTCGAAAATTTAGATATGAATACGCGAAAAATGGGGTTAGATGGCAAATTTTATAAAAAGTTATTTGAAATAGTGATTAGAACGATGTTTTACGGCTGTCGGCGAAATTTGGAGGAAAAACAACAAAAAACAGGAAATTACTTGTTTTTCGCCATGGATCTCTTATCAACTAATATTATACGGTTTTTATTATTGAAATAATCCCAGTAGGTACCTCAATATTCAATGTGTATTGTGTATTGGTAGAAAAAACTTAAATTTTTCATTGGAATCATTCCTAGAGAATTAAATAAAAATTATTAATTAGCACATGAAACTTTTCTGTAGCAATACCCTATATCTGGAGAGTTAAATAAGGTGTTTTAGAACTGTTTTAAAATATTTAATAAAAAAACTAAAAACAAATTTTTTCAATTGTTGTATCAACATAAAGTTATTGGAAATCTTAGAAACTGTCAAGATACAGTGTATTGCTAGAGAAAAGTTTCACGTGCTAGTCGAATATTTTCATTTAATCCTCTAGGAATCATTCCAATGAAGAATTTAAGATTGTTTTACCAATACACATTTAATATCGAGGTAGGTAGGTACTTGGACTATTTCAATAATAAAAATTGTATAATAATAGCTATTTGATAAGAGATCCATGGCTAAAAACAAGTAATTTCGTGTTTTTTGTTATTTTTCCTCGAAATTTCGCAGACAGCCCTAAAACATCGTTCTTATCACTTTTTCCAAATAACTTTTCCGAAATTCTGCTATCTAACCCCACTTTTCGCGTTTCCATATATAAATTTTCGAATTTGCCGCCACAACAGTGATCACGTGACCAATGTACTTTTAGATTATCGGACATGCAGGATCGATCGTACATAAAAAAAAATCCATATCCTACAAAAAAAAATTCTCATGTGTAGCGAACATTATGGGGGACACTAGAGAGGGTTAAATTAAAAAAAAAAAAACCGAACCGACGGGTATCTAAAATTGATGGAACAGAAATTCATTTCAAATCCTTTGAAAGAAAAATATATTTTCGTTAGTTCTTACGACCGCTATCGCTTTCACTGACTGAGATGCGGTCCTCTTGACCAACGCAACGACCTTAAAATTTTCACCAACATAAAAAGCAAAACGAAAGCGAATTGCAGTAAGTGAGCATAACTTTTCACTTGCTTGTATACACACGGATCGATTCCTATAGCAAGTTCACTTACTTAAGGTGCTTTCATTCTTAAACAAAGATTTCTAGAGGGGTGGTTAAACATGTATGAATATTCATGATTTTCTGTGTGGCGTTCAAAGCAGGTCGTTTGTGAGTTTTATAGGAATGTAATAGAGCTGCTGATTTATGGAAATACATAAACTATGAATGGTATCATTGTTTTTATTTACGTTCTTACTTCCAAATTGAATGCTAATTGGCATTGCTCTAAAACATTCCCATTTTCATTAGAATTAAAATTATATTCTCAATGCCCCTCAGCATTGATTCCTTTATGTAAATTCTAATTTGCCATAAAATTAGTTTAAAAATATGCACATAAATTTACTAGCTATATCATTGGAATGTAAAATGCAAATAATTTGAATTTAAGAAACGCCAAACACGAAATACAATTTTTTTATTGCGATAACAAATTATAGAAAATTTTATTGCTGTTGTCGCATTTCATTGCCTTGGAACACTCATAGATTAAAGAATACGATCCCTTATTCATGACCTACTTAATTTACTTGAGAAAAATTTTTAGTTGTCACGTCACTTGGTTAAGTAGAATTATTGAGAGTAAAGGACATTTTAGGTACTCTGCAGTATTGTGTCACTTTCTAAATAGGGATCGGAGTCATAACTGATTGGCCTCATTTAATTTCTGACAGTCATTATATTTCCTCACTGAAAATATTAATAGCATGCACCATTTTAGGTCCGGTTTATTCACCTTCTGATAAACTGTTAGGTACCTATGCAATCTGCGGGATGAAAATGCAATCTGTAATCCCATTGGTCGACCATTCATTCGCCGACCAATAGAAATACGGAATGGTAAATTTATCTTGCAGATAATTACCATAAAGTTTTTCTGAGGATGAATGAACCGGGCCTTAACCTTATTTTTACACGATTATCGAAATATTTGAATAAAAAGTTCAAATTGTAGTATAACACCCAGGTTCGTTCAGCAAGATTGAACGGTGTGAATTTGTACCTCTTTTTAAACAACAAATGTTCTGATAAAAGAAATGAAAATCAAATAGGACCTACGTTGTGGAAACTTACACTCAATTTTACTTTCTTGACATGCGCCCGATAATAGCAAAATTAAGGGAAGTTGTGATACGTAAAATAAACGAAAAATTTGTGGAACGTCTACTTTATTATTAGAGTAAATCGTACCGTTCTCGACCTGGGACTAACGAGGGGAAACAGCACGGCAGAGAAACTTTCGATCTAACATTCCTCAAAAATCAAGACATACTGTGTCATTTTAATAATCATTGTGAGTCAATAATTCAATAATTCAAGTCAATGTTTCAATAATTTAAGTCAATGATAAAAGTTTAAATTAGGTACCGCCCCTGTGCTTGTGCTAAAATTTTAATTCCACACACTAAATTCAATCAACACTAGCTATATTCAATACTGAAGAAATTTTGGTTAGTTAGCCCATCTGCCGGCAGGTACTGAGGTCCCTAGTTACGGGAGACTACTCAGCTATAGTTGTTACGCTGAGCCAATATCTCTAGATTGATTTTTCAATTTGTTTGCTAGGATATTCTCTCGTCAGGGTAGGAAAAAGTTATTAGATTCAACAAGGCCCTAATGCACGTTCTGAATACCCAAAAATAAAATCCCAGCACAAAAGACAGCACATAATTATTTCTTTAGGTTTTAATTTACTTTTTATCCGCGTTGTTTACAGCATGAAACGATATTTGTTAAATACATGAATGCAGATGTTATAAAACATGTTATAAACAAACAAAAAAAACATAACATAAAAATAATACTTGTATAAATTGAACTCTCAAAAACAAAATACCAATAGTTCAACTGACCTGTGAAGGTTCCTTATGACACACAAACTAATCACAAATTGGATTGAACAATCAGTTTAATAGAAAATAAAAATTGAATAATGAACAATGGCGAACAAGCGGTCTGAGGGACAAGCTTCTTTTCTTCCATTCTCTTTTATCTCCCCTTGGCTTTCGGTACTTTCGTTTTCTGTGTGGCGCGTCTACGCTCGCCCCTACTCGACAGCGCATACATGGTTGCAACATTTACCATTTGCTTTTCTTTTTATAGTGAACGTTTTTTAGAAAGTTAAGATTTGAAGAAATGATATTTCAAATAGGTGGTTTTCCTCAAATCGCTCCTTGGGAAGATTTTCGGAAAATCAAATTTAAGAGAGAGAAAAACTTTCAGCATTCTAACTATGTGTGTATAACTAACAGCATAAACAATAGGTCCTACTTCGGTGTTCTCTATGTAACAAACTTACAGATAAATAAACCAAAATTATACAATTATAACAAAATGAACAAAATTCCAAAACAGAAAACATTGATGAGATATGAAAACAAGAAACAAAGCTAACGCTATGGTTCAGACCGATAATAAAATTTCAAATTCTTCACATTATAATTTCCTTTTCTTGTATTAGTCTCAAAATTAAACAAAGTGTAAACATTTGGGCAAGGCTTACCTATAATGACTCTATCTGGGCCTGAGAATAAACGAAAAAAATTTATAAATAATTCTATTCGCCGCATCGGAGGTGGGACATTCACGCAATAACACTGAACATTTAAGGCTAACGCTACACTTTTCTAGTCCGCCCCTATTATATCATTTCCTGGCAGATTGTCATTCAAATCATGGTTAGTTTGGTTACTACTTGTTTCGAAATCACAATAAAATTCATCAGTTCCATTGTGTTCAAACTAGGGTGACATTTTTAAGTTTGTTTAAACAATGCCAAGCAAATGAACTTACCAAAGTCTGGCTCGTTATTGGATCTAGGTAGTTTGAAACGTCTTAGGGTTAGATTAAAAAACAATAAATTAATTTAAACGATTATATTAATACTTCCACGAAAAGATAAATAAAATAAAGAAAATAAATGTATGGCTTTGTGCTATGTACTAAAAATCCAAGAATGTCTCTCAATCCGAATGGCAAAAAAAGTTCTTATTGAGCACAGCACAAAACAAAACGCAAATTTTATATAATTTCAACTGAAATTATTTATTCAGGTACTAAGTTAACTACTAATAAATTAAAAATAAAGAACGAAATTTAATAAAGTTTTCGGTTTTCGTATGAAAACAA